TGTTCTCCATTACAAGTTTTTGCTTTTCTTCAGCAACATGAAAAAGAAAAAGAAAGGTGCTAAGGAAGACCCAGAAGATGAAGATTCAGAAGGCAGTGATGATGACCTGTTTGATAACTTAGATGATGATGAAGTTTCTTTAGGAAGTATGAATGAGGAATTTACTGAAATTGGTGAAGATGGAGGAACATTCATGGATGTGTTGGATGATGAAAGTAAGGGCACTTTTTTTTTTTTTAAAAATTTTTTTTAATGTTTTATTTATTTCTAGGAGAGAGAGAGAGAGACAGTGTGAGCAGGGGAGGGTCAGAGAGAGAGGGAGTCACAGACTGAAACAGGCTCCAGGCTCTGAGCTGGCAGTCAGCACAGAGCCCGACGCGGGGCTCGAACCCACGAACCGCGAGATCATGACCTAAGCGAAAGTCGGACGCTTAACCGACTAAGCCACCCAGGCGCCCCTGTAAGGGCACTTTTTAAATATGGGGCAAAAATACATCTTCCTTTATTCCTCAGTTTTTCTATTGCAGTGTTTCTTTTTTACATATTAACCTGTACTCAAATTAATAATCATATTGGCCAAAAATTTAAATAGAACCTTTCCCCTCTTATTATTATTTGGAACTGAAGGCCTTTTTTTTTTTTTTAAAGAGGTTGAGTTTTGGGCATTATATACATATATATACACACACACACACACACACATATAGATATGTATAAATTTTTTATTTTTTATTTTAGAGAAAGCATGAGCTGGGGAGAGGGCCAGAGGGAAAGGGAGAAAATCTCAAGCAGGCTCCATACTCAGCACGGAGCCTGATACAGAGCTTGATCCCACCTCCCTGGGATCATGACCTGTGCCAGTTGGATGCCCAACCTACTGAATCATCCAGGTGTTTGGGCTTTTATTTTAATCAGCAGTTAGGCTGTCTCTTCAATACCTGTTGAGCTGTTAAGTTCTCCTTTTAAAATTTTAGAATAGTAATTATTTCTAAAAGTTAATCAAAATAATCATCATTTTTCTTAGCCCAATAGCAGTTCTGTTGTTTTTTAAGTTGCTTAATAGCATGGTGTTTTTTTGTTTTGTTTTGTTTTGTTTCTTTCTTTTGTTTTTGGAACAGAAGTTGATGGCGTCAGCTCCAAAATTGATACAAAGAGAAGCAAGAGAAAAGGTGCAAATGATTTTGACTTTGCTGGATCATTTCAGGGTAAGAAATGTATTTACTCTCTTTTAAACCTAAGCAGTGGTTATGTAGAAGTTACCACTCATTATCATTTTGAGAAACTTTTTAATTGATTAGTATAATTTAGTTTTTGCTTTTATAATGGATAACTGTTTTTTCTATTTTTAATATGTGAAAATTGTTTGCCAAACATACCTTCAATTATTTTCTCTTCATAACTTCCTAATGTAAATCTCAACCATCTTTAAAGTGTCTCATAACAGATTATGCCTTTTAATGTTAACACTTGTAAAGTGGTGGTAAAAGAAAAAGGGTGACAGTTTTAACTTTTTAATAAAAATGGAGATAGCAAGGGGCACCTGCATGGCTCAGTGGGTTAAGTGTCTGACTTCAGCTCAGATCATGATCTCATGGTTGGTGTGTTCAAGCCTTGGAGGTCAGGCTGTGCTGGCAGCTCAGAGCCTAGAGCCTGCTTCACAATTTGTGTCTCCCTTTCTTTCTGCCTCTTCCCTGCTTGAGCTCAATCTCTGTCTCTCTCAAAAATAAACATTAAAAAAATTTTTTTAATGTAGAAAACATTATATTTTATTCCTGAAATCTGTGATAAATTCATAGGCTTACTTTTTTTCCCATGCTTTGCTTCTAACGCCACTCTAGCTTCTGCAGTCTAGTAAATACTGATAAAGAATCAAAATAGATTTATAAAGTTAAAAAATAATTAAAATACTTGACAACACTTAAACAAATGTTAAAATATTTTGGACATTAAATATTTTTGCTAATAAATACCAAAAATAGTAACTATATTTTGGTAGTAGTCTCTCAGACATTTATACCTGCAGAACTTTTATAAGCTCTTTCAACTACTGACAACCATAGTTGTAGTAGACAATCATTCTAATTAAGAGATTGATTTACCTGATATGTAAATTATAACATATTATCTTTCAGATTTTATCTTCCACTGAGTGGTATAAGGTCACAATTTAACATTAGCATGTGTTCAAATATAAGACAATTTTCCCTAAAATAATCCCCAAAAAGAAATGTTGGGGTACCTGGCTGGCTCAGTCAGTAGAGCATGCAACTCGGAGTCTTAAATTTGAGCCCCATGTTGGGTATAGAGATTACTTAAAATTAAAAAAAGAAACAGGGCATGTGGGTGGCTCCGTCAGTTAAGCATCCAACTGTTTTGGCTCAGGTCATCATCTCACAGCATTTGTGCTTTCTAGCTCCAGGTCAGGCTCTGCACTGAGTACAGAGCATGCCTGGGATCTCCCAAGTGTCTGACTCTTGGTTTTGCTTCAGGTCATGATCTCATGGTATGTGGGATCAAGCCCCACGTCAGGTTCTGTGCTGACAATCTGGAATCTACTTGGGAATCTTCCTCTCCTTCTCTCTCTCTGCGCCCCTCCCTCACTCACACACGCATACTCTCAAAAAATAAACTGTAAAAAAAAGTAAAAATTGAAATTTTTTAAATGTTTGTTTATTTTTGAGAGGGAGAGAGAGACAGAGTGAACAGGGGAGGGGCAGTGAGAGAGGGAGACAAAGGATCCAAAGCAGGCTCCAGGCTCCAAGCTGTCAGCACAGAGCCCAACGGCAGAGCTCGAACTCTGGAGCTGCAAGATCAAGACCTGAGCCAAAGCTGGATGCTTAACTGACTGAGCCACTCAGGTGCCCCATAGTAAATAAAAATATTTTTTAAATGGCCCTACTAAATGCAAAGAATTTCAGTAATATTGTTTTGGAAAAACTGAAAATGGATAAAAGCAGTATTTCCAGTTAATATATTTTTATATAATGTGATTTTGTGTATGAATTAAAATTCAGTAAGTAATAGAAATAGATGTTTCTTATTTTTTTTTTATTTTTTCTAAGTTTTTTTTTTTTTTTTTTTTTGAAAAGTTTTGTTTATCGCCTGGGTGGCTCAGTCAGTTAAGTGTCCAGGTCATGATATTGCATTTGTGAGTTCAAGCCCCACGTCATGTTCTGTGCTGGTAGCACAGAGCCTGCTTGGGATTCTATCTCTGCCCCTCCCCTGCTCTTGCTCAGTCTCCCTCTCTGAATAAATAAATAAATAAACTTAACAAGTTTATATTCACAATTACAAATTGAGTTTATTTTTTCTAAGGAGAACCACTTTGAGAAGCATAAACAAAAATTTCATTTACAACATAATAATAACCTTCTGTCATCACTTTCTTCACTATTAGTTCAAAGAATAAAACCTCTGACTTAATGAGAATTTACAGTTTGCCTTAAATATTCTAAACTTCATCTGTGTCAACTTAGGCATTAATCTTGCCTGATACTATGAAATTAGGTAAACCTTGATCAGTGGCCAAATCAGAAAGGCAGGCAAGACACTATTTGTTGTCTAAACAATTCTGTTAGGATACTATTTTAAATGTACTGTATACTATTAAATATATTTGTTTTTAAATGCCAGTTGCTTAATGGTGCTAGAAGGTAACTGTAATTGTGTATTTTAACCCAAATACAACTTTTTAACAAAACTATGTTGAAAGATTGTTGAATCACTCACTGTGTTGTACACTTGAAACTAATGTAACATTGTGTGTCCACTATACTTTAATTGTAGAAAATTTGTATTTTTCGATAATTATTGGCTTTACAATTTAATAATCTAATCTTATACTTTTTTTAGGACCAAGGAAAAAAAGGATAGGAAATTTCAATGACTCCAGCCTATTTGTATCGGCTGAAGAGGTAAGACTAATGTACTGCTTTATGAAGTTACCTATTCTAGGTTATGGTACCTGGCTGGCTGAGTTGATAGAGTACACTCTTGATTTTGGGGTTGTGAGTTCAAGCCCCATATTGGGTGGAGAGATTACTTAAAAATAAAATCTTTAAGAAAAAAAAGAAGCTACCTATTCTAGATCTCTTTGAGTTTTCTAATAAATGTATTTCTTTTTAAGTTTGGCCACCTACTGGATGAAAATATGGGATCCAAGTTTGATTACATTGGCATGAATGCCATGGCTAACAAGGATAATGCAAGTAAGTAACTTGAATGTTTTATGGAGGTTTTTAAATAGCCTTAACTTACAACTTCTTTTTTTTTTTTGTAATGTTTTTATTTATTTTTGAGAGAGAGAGAGACAGCATGAGCAGGGGAGGGTCAGAGAAAGAGGGAGACACAGAATCTGAAGCAGGCTCCAGGCTCCGAGCTATCAGCACAGGGCTGGATGTGGGGCTCGAACCCACCAACTGTGAGGTCATGACCTGAGCCGAAGTCAGCCGCTCAACCGACTGAGCCACCCAGGCGCCCCTTAACTTACAACTTCTGAAGATGTGTTTTTAGACAACCTTTTTTTAGTAAGGATAAGTAAAATGGTTCCTTACAACCCTGAAGGAATGGCCTTTTCATCTGTGTGTAGGGAGCGTGTAGGATTAAAAAAACATTTGGACTACAGCAGTAAAGACTAGTTACCTTTGGGGCGCCTGGGTGACGTTGTCAGTTCGGCAGCCAGCTCTTCGTTTCAGCTCAGGTCATGATCCCATGGTTTAGGAGCCTGCTTGGGGTGCCCTCTCTCCTCCCTGACCCTCCCCCACTTGTGTACTTTGTCTCCTCTCAAAATAATAAATATAAAAAAATTTTTAAATAAAGACTGTAGTTACTTTAAACTGTTTAACTCTTTTAGACAGGCTGTTTGTTTTTATATATTATGAATATACTTAGTAGCTTAATAAGTACTTTATAGACGTTTTTATTACTTCTGATATTGTTACTGGCTTCTGTTCTTTTGCTAATAAAAGTGTTCTGGGGGAAAAAATTCTTCAGAGTATTTATTCCTTTCTTGTCCTAGACTTTTATTTGTTAAACAGTAATCTTTAACAATAAATGCTGAAGGAAAGCAACAAACAAAAGCAGGGGATATGCACTATGGATGGGAAGGGACTAGGCCTCAGCAGATCAGCAGTTCCTGTTTTGCTCTGCGAGGCCAGGAGTCTACAGCGTGGTGTGCTCATCTTTTCTTCTTCCCCACAAAGGTCTCAAACAGCTTAGATGGGAGGCTGAACGTGATGACTGGCTACACAACAGAGATGTGAAAAGTATCATCAAGAAAAAGAAAAATTTCAAAAAGAAGAGGCCAAAGTCCACTCAGAAAATTAAAAAGCAAAGAAAATGATTGTTTTCTAAGTGAACTATATAAGTTAAAATTGTACTTACTCTTAATTTTTGCTATTCAGCCATTTTTCTTGATCTTGCTGTCTGACGCCATACATTCCAGATTGTTCAATGGATTTGTAATAAACTATAAATAAATACAGCTGTCATTTATAAAATCATGTAAAAGTGTTAAAATTAAACTATATTGAAAGAAATCAAACCTCTTTTCCTTATTTCTTAATAGTAAAATGAAAAAAGTAGGATACATATTTCACATATAAGCCCTCAAGCATCTGTACTAATCATTATAATAAGCACTATTTATTAAGCACGACTTTATAGCAGATACTATGCTGAGTGATTACACAATGTCATCTTGTTTAATCATTACAACAGTTCATAAGGTGGGCATTATTATCACTACTATACAGAGAAACAGCTCCAAGAAATTGGCAAACCAGAGTTTTATAGGTTGTGGTTTGATTCCATCAGCACCTCAGATAGGTTTCATTCCAAAGTCTACATTTTTAACCACTGGCTACTCTCCTCTCCAAATGAGAATACTCTCCACCCTGTGTTCTCAGAAAGAGCTAAAATAGGGATAGACAGTAATTTTTCTTGGAAATTTGACATCATAAAGTTTAAAAAGTCCTTTAACCATTAATTGGTCATTTAAAAAATTAATGGGTACCTGAAAAAGTTGTTTTATACTCTTAAGGGAAAACATACCTTCCAAGATGAAGGGGAATTTTTTGCTCATTGTTTGCCTGAAATCTGATGGAGAAAAAGTCTTAGAATTAAATATGACTAGAAATTTCATTGTATTAAAACATGGAGTCCATAGTTAATGCTAGCTTTAGGGTCTATAAGATAAGAGTCTGTGTTAAGGCCCTTCTGGTAATGAAGAACTATATCCTTTTAGACAGGGGGTAAGTTGCACTTGTCTTACATGCTGCCTCCCATAGTTACTTTACAGTTTTGCAAATCTGACCTGTATATATCATGTAATTTATATAGAAGAGGGATAAAAAGCAACTTTTCAGTGTTCATGTGTAACTATGAAGTTTGAGATAAAAAACCGGGTAGACGTATTTCAAATTCTATTGCAAGGTAAAATGGAATCCATAAAAACAATTCATTGCTCAATGGATTCTGTTTTATTCTCTTAGTATAATTAGAAACTTTAATTTGCTCTCAAATACTGTTTGGATATTTTTTTTTACACCCTTATACTTGAAAAGTGTAGACTGATAATCCAATAGCATCGGGAACACAGTGTTGCACTAAAATACCTTTCTAAGACAAATTTCAAAGATGGCCACCACCCCAGGACTACTATTATCTGCTTTAGGGAAAGAGAAAGCACCACTTAACTAATTTTAAGAGTTGAAGACTCTAAAAATCCCCTGCAAAATGTCAAGCACTTTCAGCGATAGCCAGTGGCGTGGGAAAGGTTTTTAGCGCCCAGCACTGACACAGAGGAAGAACTGATACGATAGCCTTTGAAAGTGGTTACTTGACAAATCAGCTATGCTACCACTTCTCTACCAAACAAGGAGATATAACTGGCAGGCTGAATTTCTTCCACCCGTATTCCCAAACTGAGCCAGACCAAAAACACTTGCTCTATGCCCCCGACTAGTAAAATCCATAGAAGTGTAAAACATTTTCCTTTGTCTACAAACAACATTTAGGAAGAGTCATTAAGTCCAGAGTTAACACCAAGCTTCCTCCTGTGCCCATAAAAATGCCCAATTCCTGGAAGAAATGAATTTCTCTAAAACTGCTGTTTAGCACCTAGATGTGTTAGCAAACCGTACACCCCTTTAGAAAACATCAACTTCTGAATTAGGATTACCTTGACTTGTGTTCATTTTATTAAACAAAAAATATGCTCCAAAAACGCCCACAAGTTCAACTACTAAAACTCCTTTAAAGATCTTCTTTGCCAGTGGTTCCATAGTGCGGGCCATCCTACGTTTAACAACAAACAGAAACCTGGATGAGCATATACAAACAATAGCACTTCCATAAAAATAATCCATTCCCAGTTTGAATGATGTATACCCTGTATACTTATTTGTATTAGATATGTCCCACATTCCTAGTTTTCAATCTCTACCCCTCAGGGGCACAATGAACCAAAGATACCACTGGATAACGCACAGGCAGGAGATAAAAGTGAAAAAAAGCACTGAAAAAAGAACTAACAATTTATGGAACTAAGATTTTTAATTGCCTAAGACTATAGAACATTGAGAGAGAGGGTAAATCATTTCTTTTTAACCAAACTAAAAAGATGATCTAAATGGGCAGCATATGTGAAAGCCCTTTGTAAGTACCCTACAAAAGTAAGGCTATTCTATAAGTGGTTGTACGTTTCGTACCTGGAGGTTTCCATTTATTTATACAACACATATTGAACTAGGTGCCACAGCCCAAGCCTTTCATACAAAGTTGAGCAGCAAATCAATTTGATTTGGTGAGTTGCTATTCTAACAGTATTTTCAAACGAATTACATCACCAAGAAGGCTTCTTAAAAATGCACATTCCTGGGCCTCATTCTGGAGTTTCTCCAGATTTCTGATTCAGCAAGTTGAGAGTAAGGGTCCCAGTAATCTGCCTGTTTGCAAGCAACTCCAATGCCTTTTATACAAGAGGCCCCTCGACCGACCACATGAGGAGGAAAACTGATCATCATCACCCATAAGTGGCAAACTAGACTTTACATCTTGATTCTCTTCCTTTAATTAAAATAAAAGCTAATCAAAAAGGGTTTGAGTCTTTGTTCTCTTTCTCTAACGTAAAAGCTAAACAAGGGAAAGGACTATATAAGAAAATAACATCTAGGACTCAGTTTACTGAGTATATGAAAACGTAAACTCAAGTTATTACTCTGCCTCCCTATAACCCCAACAAGAGGAGAAAACAGTCATTTTTAATCTTAGGATCTTGATATCGTCCAATGGATGCTCTTTGTCATACTGTTTGTTCTCTGATGTCTGTGCAGAGATGCTAAACTCTGTAATACTGTACAGTCCCAGCTCTCTGCCCACTGTCATGCGTTTACACCATTTCCTTTTGACTCCTTTTCATAATGCCTGAGAGTGGGGTAATTAAATACCCTACTTTGTGGGATTATCCTATTAATCTCTTTACCGGGTGTCCCTTCCCTCCAAAATCCCTTTCCCTCATTTTGATAATGTGATCACCCTGGGGACTAAAAGATTAAAACTTTATTATTCATGTCTTTAAAAATGAAGCAAAGGAAGTTAAAAAAACAACTTACATGTAATGGACAGGCAGGTGAGTGGGTGGGAATGAACTGTTTTGTTTACAATACTGTACCCACACCAAGTAAGTCATGATCAGTACAGAGACCTTCTTGGGGTAAATTTTAAAGTTCAACGGGTGAAAAAGAATTTTTTTAATGTTTTATTTATTTCTGAGAGAGACACAGCGTGAGCAGGGGAGGGTCAGAGAGAGAGGGAGATACAGAATGTGAAACAGGCTCCAAGCTCTGAGCTAGCTGTCAGCACAGAGGCCGATGTGGGGCTCGAACCCACAAACCGTGAGATCATTACCTGAGCTGAAGTCGGGTGCTTAACCGACTGAGCCACCAAGGCACCCCAAGAATTTTTTTAACTTAAAAATAAAGCCTGCCTGCAGTCATATCCACAGTGTAAGGAATCCAAGTAAAATCTGGTTTTGTTCTAATGAGAGAAGGTGAGGTGAAGGATTCAAAACATAAAGTACAAATAACACCGTGTAACTCAGCGTTTACCTTTTTGAAAAATATATATACACAGTTTACAAGTCCCCTCAAGTTCGGGAAAGGTGTTTATAAGGACTGATAACGCCTAGTTGATAAAGACCACCAGGGGCTTACCGGTCCAGGACAAAGTAAGGTTACTAACTAGCAGAGGAGGCACAAGATTAGACAAGACTTTGGAGAAGGCCAGAACTTAGGCGAAGTTTAAAAGAAAGCAGTCCTCGAACTGGGCTCGAAGAAAGGCAGGGCTGTGTGCCACGGGGGTTCCCATCACACGGGGATGAGAAGCTGGTTCGGGGTGCACAAGCTTAAACGTGCACTGCTGCTTCGGAACGCGCCTTATGTTCCAGCTGGAAACCGACACGGCTCAGCAACTGCAGGCAACACGACTGATCACACAGCAAGATCCCTCACACGCTAGGTGTCAGAGAGCAAGCTTTCTCAGCTGCGTCCCGGGGTGTGCTTAGCAGAAGCGCTTTGTCCAGGTCCCCACGGCCCAGAACCAAGGGGCCAGCGAGGCCTCCGGGAGCTGCCCTCGCGCGGCCCCCTCCCCCGGGCCCTGGGCCTCGGGTGTATCCCGGCGGCCCCCCGCGCCTTCCCGCCTGCCCGGGGCCCTCGCACGCTTCCGCCCGGCCCGCAGCCGACTCCCGAGCGCATCTCAGGCTGCACTGCCCGGGTCACGGGGCCAAGGTCGCCGAGCGACCCGGAAACACTCGGGCCTCTCCCGTGCCCCTCCGGCAGAATGGATAAAGCGACACCCAACTTCCCTCCGTATGACCCTAGAACTTTAGCGACCATCTGTCCTCCCCGCCCCCCAAAGAAAACCTGCCCGCCTCAGCTCTCCGTGGAGCAAGATTCAGGACTCCCAACTAGAGCCAACCCACTCTCTTACCTGAATTGCTTACGTGCGGGACTGCGCATGCGCGAGTGTAAGCCCCGCCCCCCCGGCGTTGGCCCCGCCCCACACCGTAATTACCTCTTCTAAGGCTCCTTTTTTTTTTTTAAAGCTTTATTTATTTAAATATTTCTACACCCCATGTGGAGCTGGAACTTACGACCCCAAGATCAAGGGACGCATGTTCTGACTGAGCCAGCCAAGTGCCCCTTTATTGTGCTTTTCTTACTGAGAGTAGATCCTGACTGCTGCCTATGTACATTAATTTAATCCTCAGAAAAACCCTATGTCATAAGTGCTATGAGTAATTCATTGTACAGAGAAGGCGAGAGTTTCACCCTGCCCACAATCACAGAGCTTACATGAGACAAAACTGGATTTGAACTTGGGACACTGACTGGAAGACCTGTGCTCAATTATTTTTCCACACTCTGCAACCCAAAGTGTGATAGAATCAGCAACCTGGAAGTTTCTTAGAAATGCAGACCTACGGGTGCATTTGGCTGGCACAGTTGGTAGAACAAGCAACTCCTCGTTTCCTCAGGGTCATGAACTTGAGCCCCATGTTGGGCATGGAGCCTACTTACAAAACAAAACAAAATTGTAGGAAAGGCAGACCTACTGAATCCGAATCTGCATTTTAGCCAGACAATTCGTTAGTAAATTGAATTTTGAGATGCACTGCCTGTACTACCCAACGGGAAGAGAAGGAGAAGCAGAAGGGAAGAAGGCAGAAGAGGAAAAAAGGAATATAAAGGTCTATTATGGTACTATTTGCAAGACGAAGCCTGGGCTAGCAGGCTTCACAGATCTACCTTCATTGAAGTTATAGTCTAGTGGGGGTAAAATACATTCACAAATAACCATTGAAAAGTACACAGTGATTAGGGTCTTTCTGGCTGAGCCAGCCAGGAGTCCCTACGGTCTTGGTACTTATCTGAAGGATCAATGAGGTTTTAGAGAAGGGGTGAGTTATTTTTGGCAAGCTAGTTGGAGCTGTCTTTGTCAAATCCAGGTAAAGGAAGTGCCTCTGAGGAGCTCTCTGTGACGTGCCCAGTTTTCCTACCTAACCCCCACAGTGCAGCGTACATGGTTCATTTGCACAAGTAAACCGTCATAAGTTGGAGGAAATATGGATCTGCAAACTATACTAATTTAAAGCATGTCATCAGTCCAGATCACTCAGATCTCTACATATCCAGATCCCCAACCGTCCCTTCCCCTACCTGGCTTTATCAGTACCCTCTTAATGTTTGGGCTTTGTGTAGTCTCTCATCTCTTCTATCTGCTCTATGGTAACTATCTCTGGCTTGAACCTCCATTCTATTAATATTATATATCTGACTTTCTCTCCAGTCTTTCTCCTAAGATCACTGGTGTTTGGTCTGTTCTTTGTTTTGTCAGCTACTGTTTTTCCTGTCATAATCTATTTTTCTCAAAACTTTTCAGAACTCCACCCCCAGCTGTTACCTACTCTGTTAAGCTGCTTCTTTTTCCTCCAGCCAAGACATGTGGAGTCTTTAGAGATTCATTCCTATTCAAAGATTCACCCATGATAAATATTTCTTGTTTTAAAAGCAGCCCCAGTGACTTTCAGGAATTTGTTTAATATTTAATATATAGTATGATATAATGTATAATTTATATTTACATTTGTTACATACATACATGCATAGATATATGAACCAGGGTGACAAAACAAGATGAAAAGGCAAATTGGAATGGTTCAGATTGAGAAAAGAAAAGAGGGGCATCTGGGTGGCTCAGTAGGCTGAGCCTCTCACCCTTGATTTCAGCTCAGGTCATGATCCTAGAGTCGTGGAATCCAGCCTGGAGTTGAACTCTGCACAAAGCATGGAGACTGCTTAAGATTCTCTCTCTCCCTCTCTCTGCCCTTCACCCCTGCTGGTGAGCTCTCAATCTCTCTCTCTCTCTCTCTCTCTCCCTAAAATTTAAAAAAGAACAGAAAAGAAAAAGAAAGAAACCTGATAACAAAGGCTGAAATAATTGCACAGAGACTCAATCACTTCAATTGAGAGCGTATATAAGCTAATTAAGGGAGGTTGTTCATTAGAGTGGGAGTCTCCCAGTAATATACAAAATTTATATGGCATCCTCATATTCATTTTTTACACACCCTGGACCCCACCATAGATTTCATAAACCTGTTTGCAGGTAAGGACCATTTGCCCACAAGGTTTAGAGCAGGAGAAATATAGACTCCGGTGGAGACTTGTATCAAGTTAATTCAATCAGTGAATTGGGGTACAGGGCAGAGCATATTGGGGCTGGTGGGAAAGACTCTGATGGCAGATTTTCACTGATCCCCACCAGTGTCAAGTGGAAAGACTCACAAGTAGCAGGTGTAAGGACTGTGCCTCTACATAACTGGGCAATGGGGTAACTCATCTGCCCCAACCCTAAGCCAAGAATTCAAATGCCCAGCTTCCCCAGTTCATAAGTCCCATTTACCCTCTTCTAAGTCTCCAGAACTCCTCCCAATACCTCCTTTGGGGGACTGTACATTCCCAGTGTGACTCTGATTTGCGAACTCTAGCAGAGGTATGCAAGTGGCCAGAAGGAAGTTCCCCTTGCTTCATCATGCCCAAGCCACAGATGTTGGCCAATGTTCAAGTCTTCTGTAGTGAGCGTTAAAACCAAGAGCAGCAGAGGGACGCCTGGGTGGCTCAGTCGATTAAGCGTCCGACTTCAGCTCAGGTCAGGATCTTGTGGTTCGTGGGTTCGAGCCCCACGTCGGGCTCTGTGCTGACAGCTAGCTCAGAGCCTGGAGCCTGTTTCGGATTCTGTGTCTCCCTCGCTCTCTGATCCTCCCCTGCTCGCTCTCTCTGTCTCTGTCTCTGTCTCTGTCTCTGTCTCTCTCAAAAATAAATAAAAACATTAAAAAAAAAAAAACAACCAAAGGCAGCAGAGATCTCTTCATTAATAAATACCTAGGAGATTTGCTGTCCATTCTCCCATGGTTTTCTCAGAGAAAGAGCAGCTACCCAATCTGTCTGGGATCCAAATAAAGCTCTTGCAATTAACTGGCATGAGGGTGCAGAGATTAGATGACCCATGGCTACAGGTGCCAGAAGGAACTGGAAAAGAGAGGCCCAGGATCGTGGTGATGACCCAGCCTTCCCTTCAGAAGGCCACAGGACACAGAACAGTGGGGGATGAAGCCTCTGGTGGCACTGTCCCTGAAGCACAGGCAGTGGGGATAGGACTGCTTGCCAGCTACCCAGTGCTGGAGTGGAGTGGTTCTTCATCGTCCCCAGTCTAGGAAGTCAAAGAGTCCCCACATAAATATCCTGCATCCCGAATGTTTTCAGCATCCGCTAACTCACACACTTCATCCCTCACTTCCTGGTGTTCAATTTCTGAAGAGAGAAGCCAGTTTTTAATAAACTCCTCCAAATACCAAGAGGTTATACCCTCTCTCTGCATGTGGGATCCCAAGGTAAATTTCAATCCTGTACTACACTAGGAAGTAGCACTTCTCTTGCTAAAGAACAGGACTAAAAAAAGCAAAATTTAATCCTGAAGGGGCATCCCACTCCAGATAGAGGAGGATGGCACAGAAGGGGCCGATTTACCTGCTCCTAAAAATCAGCCCTGGGGCCAATGGGCACACAACAGCCATATGTTTTTTGAGCCTCACTTGCTTGCTTTACGAATCAGACTTGAGTTCAATCACACCAGACATTTTTTGTCACATATTTTTTTTCTCTCTCCCTCTCTCTCTCTCAAGCTCTCTCTTTCTAAAATTCTCTCTCTCTTTCTAAAATTCTCTCTCTCTCTCTCTCTCTCTCTGCCATAAGTCCATAAACTAGAGAAAAAAATAAAAACAGAGAAGTTAAGAGGGAACAATGTTTTGGAGCACCTGGGTGGCTCAGTTAGTTAAGCATCTGACTTCAGCTCAGGTCATGATCTCGTGGTGCATGAATTTGAGCCATGCATGCTCTGTGCTGACAGCTCAGAGCCTAGATCCTGCTTCGGATTCTGTGTCTTCCTCTCTCTCTGCCCCTCCCCTGCTTACAATCTGTTTCTCTCTCTCCCTCCCTCTCTCTCTCAAAAATAAATAAATAATTTAAAAAAATTTTTTCACAAAAGAGGGAACAATGTCCTTAATCTCAAGGAAAGGAGCTTTAAACAATCCTTCTATGCTGCTCCCACCAAGGAGCACGAACCAAGCCTGGGCAGTGCTGTCTAGGAGGTTCCCCCTCCCCCACTTACCTCGGGCCTAGGTGGATCCAGGAGCCAAATGGAAGCTGGGATTGCACAGAATCCAGGGCCCACCCGCACTCAAAAGCACAGCAGTGCACATATATCCTATAATCTAGGTTATTTTACAATCATTCATGCTGTTTCCCCCATCACGCATGTAGACACTTAAGAGTCAAGTAGAGGGGCACCTGGCTGGCTCAGTCGATGGAGCATGTGACTCTTGATCTTGGAGTTGTGAGTTTGAACCCCACATTGAGTGTAGGAAATACTTTAAAAACTAAAATCTTACAAATAAAAGAGTCTAGCATGTAGAACTGTAAGAATGACAGCTTGCCCTGAGCCTAGGGAGACTAAGAAGAATCAGAGCTCCCATACCAAGTCCAAACAGCCCCCCAAATCCTCCTATAATTACAGGCATTCATGTCAAAACAGGATCCAGGCATATTGTCTTTTTTAACATTTTAGTCACTAAGAAGCAAGCTAAGAACAACAGCAGTATTTGAATTAATACCTTAAATTCTACCTTCCCAAGGTAAACAAAGACTCTTTATAATGTAAGGGACAATCCCATTAAGCAGCTTGGCTGTGAGTCCAGTCTTACCCTCCTTTTTGGGGGGCGGAGGGAGATTCTGAAATACACCACCTTCCTGCCTACAGTGAATAGCATCCCATTATTATGTAAGGTAATTACATAAGGTAATAACATCTTCAAGGAGGAAGTTCTGTATGGAAATATAAAAATAGTGAGACAGTCAGACATTCCAATTCTACATTTTTACTAACATTTTAAAAGCACGTTATTACAAATAAAATGAAACCCAGAAACCTACCTAAGTAGGAGCCCTCTTTGGTCAGCTCTTTTTTCCCCTCTGTAAAACAGAGATTAAAAGTTGCTTCCCTACATCTACCACCTGCCTCAGTAAGATATGTTCAGTTGATGTATAAAATTTCCCCAATTCTGTGAGGAAAACTTTATGTCTGATTCAATTAAAGAACTATTTGTTAGACAGTTAATTTCTATTATCATCTGGTAAGAGATTCTACTCTTACTTTCCTTGGGAGGATTGTCCATAATGGTAATATAATCAACCCCCAGGGTAATACTCCCTGATCCTCAGCTTGCTTTGCACCTGTGGTTTGCCTTTTGTCAAAGGTGGGCGTGCAAACAGGCAGGTGGGGGGAGGAGGGGATGCAAATGAAATTATTTCTTTCTCAAGTGAATGGGAGGAGTCCTTTATTCCACCTCCTGAAAAACTCCTTTAAAAGCGTTCACTTCCCCAAAACTCCTTTAAAAGTGATCACTTCCCCTGGGCAGACACAGAACAGGTTCATTAGCAAGGAGCCAGCATGGCCAATAAATCCAAATTTATTGACTACATCGATGAAGCTTTGGAAAAATCAAAAGAGACTGCACTTTCTCGCTTGTTTTTCACCCATCAGGGGATTCCATACCCTATCACCATGTGCACCTCAGAAACTTTCCAGGCCTTGGACACCTTTGAAGCCCGAAGTGATGACATAGTGCTTGCATCTTATCCAAAGTGTGGTAACTAACAAATCGTTTTCTACAAGGGTGCTTCTTCATAGGGAGGAGGTTGGGCAGGGTGCAGGGCAAAGGTGGGAGGAAGGCAGTCCCCTGCACAAGAAGCTAGCCAGAGGTCAGGCAGGAGGATGACCAAGATGGTTGAGAACATAGTTGGTGACATCAAGAACTAGAACTGCTAGATTTAGAAACCTGGGTGTCTAAGTAGAGGTGATGGGTGCAGAAAGAGATGCGTGATGGGGCTACCAACCAGAAACATGAATGCAAGAAAGTCCACTCACCATCAGACACTGAGAGTAGGAAAGATTTTCATCTTGATTTCTGACTGAGGAGTGTGGCTGTGTCTGTAATATAAACTATGATTTCCATGTAATTATTTTTCCAGGATCTAACACCAGCAATCCGCCAGCTTCTCAAACCAGTGTTACAATGGTCATTCATCAATGGAGGAAAAAAAAAAGAATCTATGGGGCACCTGGGTGGCTTAGTCAGGCGTCGGACTTTATTTCAGATCAGATCATGATCTCACAGTCTGTGGGATTGAGCCCTGCATGAGGCCCAGCGTTAGTAGCATGGAGCCTGCTTGGGGTTGTCTCTCTCCCTTTCTCTCTGCCCCTCCCCCATGAGCACGTGTTCTCTCTCTCTCTCTTTCTCTCTCTCAAAACAAACAAACTTTAAAAGAACACAGAATCTAAATCCCTATTTTACACAATTTGATTTTTTTAAACTGTTATTTCATCTCTAAGTTTATTAAAGCCATCTTCATTTGATATTTTTCTATTAATTGATGCTGGGTTTTTATAAATCAAAATTATATATACTCTTATAGAAAATATTCACTGGGGCACTGGGTGGCTCAGTTGGTTAACCATCCGACTTCAGCTCAGTTCATGATCTCACAGTTCATGGGTTCAAGCCCCTCATCGGGCTCTGTGCTGACAACTCAGAGCCTGGAGCCTGCTTTGGATTCTGTGTCTTCCTGTCTCTCTGACCTTCCCCTGCTCGTGCTCTGTCTCTCTCTCAAAAATAAACATTAAAAAAATTTTTTAAAGAAAATATTCACTAATATAAGGTACAATAATATATATAATAAACAATCATTTCTGTGACATAACATTGTTCTATAAGGAAGATATTATAGATTTAAGAAGTATTGCCTCTTGTTAAAAGAGTATTCTGAAAAATAAGGTAACTTGAATTTATACTAATGTAAGTACATGCTGTTTTCCACAAAACTCTGTTTCTTTCCATAACCCAGTTTATTTCAAATGCAGAAGAATCAACTATACACACGACACAGTGCTTATAGATTTTAAATTTTATGATGCATATGTGCAACTAACATGCCTTTGCTATACCAAGACTCTTTTAATGATTTTTCTTATAGGTTCAAATTGGATTCTCCACATCACTAGTGAATTAATATTTGCTGAATCTAACAAAAAGTATGAATATCCGGAATTCCCAATTCTTGAATGTGGGGACCCAGAGAAATATCAGGTTAGTACAAAACAGCTTTTAAGCTTATAGTAAATTATCATACAAAGACTTCTTCTCTTTGGGGGACATTTGAGTTTTGAGTTCAGAAAGTACTAATACTAAATAATCATGGCAACTTATTTTGTGTTTATCATCTAATCCCAGCACCTTTCAAGGATTATCTTGTTTCAGGGCAAAAAAACCTCATCGCCATTTCACAAAAGATCATACCGTTAGAGATTTGCTCAAGGTCAAGGGGCTCAAAACTGGCAGGGCCAAGATTTGAACCCAAATTTTCCAATTTGAGCTTCTTAACCTCTGCAGAATATAGACAGCCTACTTAGAAAAGAGACGTAGGAGGGAAAGTAAGCCGAGAAACCTGAAGAAAAAATTAAAATTAGGGGCGTCTGGCTGGCTCAGTCGGTAGAGCCCATGACTCTTCATCTTAGGGTTGCACGATCGAGCCCCACGTTGGGTGTAGAGATTACTTAAAAAATAAAATCTCTTAAAAAAATTAAAACCATAAAAGCTTTGTCTTTGAAGACAGAGACTTGGGTGAGCTGGCAAGAGAAGGGTTCCTCTAAGGCCTGGATCATTCTGCCCTCAGTTTATGTCAGCACTCCCTGGTCTTTTCCTAATAAGACATTACCTTTGATGTCCTTGTATCAGTGATGACTCTGGTGTGTGGGGGATGGGAAAGGGTCAAGTCGTAGCTGAGAGAGTAAGCCACTATGTGCATCAAGGTTCTTTTTTTTTTTTTAATATTTATTTATTTATTTTGAGAGAGAGAGAGAGCACACGCATGAGATAGAGAGAGAGAATACCAAGCAGGCTCCATGCTGTCAGCACAGAGACCAATGCAGGGTTTGAACTCACAAACTGTGAGATCGTACCTGACCCAAAATGTGAAGACCTGGACACTTAACCGACTGAGCCAACCAGCTGCCCCCTTACCCGTTCTAAATCACTTTACCACACATTATTGCTCACACTACCAATATAACCAGGTGGGGCTTGGGAGTTCGGTTCCCAGTCAGGAAAGGCAAGGACAGGGAGGGAGGAAGGATCTTCCTCAGGACTTCAGTGGCTGGACAGGACAGGTGAGAGAGGAGGGCCAGCTCCAGCCCCGCCAGAAATGCATTTGGGCAGGGAAGGGGGAGCCACAGTCTCAGCAAAACTTTCAGAGGTGCTTACCGCCAGGACCCCAACAAGCAGACAGAGAAACTCAGCTACTGAGAATGAAGTCACTGGATTGGGACTGAAGAGGGGTTTCTGGAAAATGATGGAGACACTTGGCATGATGACAAATACAAATTGAAAAGCTGGATCCTAGGAGGAAGGAAGCTCATTTCCATGGATTGGGCTAAAGCAACAGAAAAATACAGGCAGATAAGGTGTTCAGGAAGTTGGGGGTGGGCTGGAGTGGGAGCTAAGTGTGCAACCTGGATCTAGTTGGCTGCAACCTCAGTAGGGAGCAGCCGCAGCAGTGCCTAGTGGTGGGCGGTCAGGACTAGCTCAGGATGTGGGGACAGGAGTTTTAAGAAACCTTCCTACCTAAGAGATGGATGGGCTAATGAAAAGCCTCCTTGATTTCTCCTATCCAGGGCACTGCATAACCTTTTTTTTCTAAAAAGGGTGTTTATCATCACCTTAAAATGTATGCTAACATTTCTCCAGCTTTCCAACTTCTTAAAAAGTAATTTTTATTTATTTTAACATTTCTTCATTTTTGGGAGACAGAGTGAGATAGAGCATGAGCAGGGGAGGGGTAGAAAGAGAGGGAGACAGAATCGGAAGCAGGCTCCAGGCTCTAAGCTGTCAGCACTGACCCCAACGCAGAGCTCAAACTCACGAATCGTGAGATCGTGACCTGAGCTGAAGTCAGATGCATAACGACTGAGACACCCAGGTGCTCTTCCAACTTTTTTTTTTTTTTTTTTACGTAAACTCTATACCCAAAGTGGGGCTCAGACTCACAACCTGGCAATGAAGAGTTGCATATTCTGACTGAACCAGCCAG